GTCCATATTGAAATCAAAGCCAAAAGCATTGTCCCTCTCATGTTACAATCCCTTCTTCCTCTGAAGTAATCAAAAGTTTTTACCATTTGGCAAACATCTTGATCTGTCCTTAATGACGCTTTTTATTGGTCTGTTAAATGCTTATGTGATGTATTGTAAGAGAAACACGATGTATTATGTGTGAGTAGAAAATAGTTGACATTTCCTTAGATGTTTGATTTTAACCAAATGGAGGATATTTGAATTCTCATCTCAGTTGTGTCCCTGGGAAAGCTGCTTAAATCTCTTAGAATTCATGTAATCTATTTGGTTGTAGTCATTCAAGTTGTGATCTCTTAGCTTCCAAAAAAAATTTGCAAGATTTTCTATGCCACGACAGCAACTCTACCAAAAACACTTCGTCACCTTTCAAACATGGTATAGGCTGGAAACTGTTTTTTGGTTTTCAGAGAGAGAAAAAACGAAGCATTTTGTTTTTATTCTCTAATGATCCAGGTGGCAGAGAGTTGGAATAAGAGAATATCAGCAAAATGCATTTGACTCAGTAAGTGTAATTAGAGGATTGGATTATTCTTTTATAGAAGTTTACTGACCACCTGCTGCAGAGCTGGAAATTGTGCTGAGGCGTGTGAAGTAAAGGCCTGGGTAAAGCCACGCTGCCCTCTTGGTGCCCAACATTGTATTTACCACTAATCAACTCTGGTCAGACAGCTGCTGGCACGTTGCTAGGACTACTGGGTTTTAGTATGTTAGTTGTGAGAGTTTAGTCAGCTAAATAGACCTGTAGAATGGTTAATAGGCAGATTAGTTTACCTCTAGTTAGACCTTGGCTAATGGAAGTGCTAATGTTGGCTCCTTGCCTTCAAATGTGGCATAATCCTTCACCTAAAGGTACTGTTATGAATGCTCTTCAAATAGTAGGAAGAAATTTTAGGAAGGAACCTATATGCGTAAGTCATTTAAAAAATGAAAATCATTTATATGTAAAGTTTGCTGAATTGCTAGTATCTTGTGCTGCTAATTTTTTCATGTACGGTGCTTTTTAGTTTTTATTAGAGTACATTTACAGTGTGTAATGCTTATACTCATTGTAGGGAGCTGGTATGTATACACAACACATCTTAATTCTTTTCATTTCCTGTGCCACTGTTGGTATGGAATGAGTATATTCTGTAATGCCAGCAGCGTTTCTTTCTGTTTGTTTGTTGTTTTGTTTTTTTTTTTTTGGTACCGGGGATCAAACTCACAACCTTACACTTGCCAAGAAAGTGCTTACACCGCTGAGCTAAATCCCCAGAGGCAGTGTTTCTTTCTACAGTGCTGTTTTGATCTAGCCAAAAATTTGAGTCTTATTTTTGTAAACATTGAAGTAAGTGCTTTAATATTAAATGTATTAGTTTTTTATTCAGTGAGCAATTTTAAAATGTATTCCTTTAAAAAAGTTTTACTTACATGGAAAACAATAATTTTTATAGGATATTTATAGTAGAATTTAGAAACTCAGCTTACTAAACTGAGGTCAGATGATTATTATATTAAAAACAATTGATCACCAAGTCACAACAAAACCAACAATGTAAGAATCAAGCAGTAGAGAATTATGGATGCACTGAGTGAGTGCGTACGTGTGTGTGTGTGTGTGTGTGTGTGTGTGTGTGTTGAAACTTGAATATACATTCAGCAGTCCTAAGTTAAGGAAAAATTCAGTCTCTTAGCAAACCTTTGTGTTTAGAGATGTAATATTCGGTTATTTTATATATTAAACATCTTGATTCCAAGGCAACTGTGAAGTACTCAGTATACTCACAATCATGCATTTTAGAGCTCAAGGCTTATCTTGCATCCCAGAAAGCTGTATGTAAGTGTAAAATGCATAAGCTTTAGAAAACTGAGTGGACTTGGGTTCCAGTTCCCGCTGTGCCACTCACTAGCCAGATGGCTTTAAGCCAGTTAACTTCTTTGCGCTTGTCTCTTCAAATGGAAGTAATATATACAGTGAATCCGCCTTGTTTATTGATTCTGTGCTTCTAATTTGCCTAGTTGCCACAGTTGCATAATCCCCAAGCTGATACTCACTCTGCCTTTGTAGACATGTGCAGTGGCTCAGACCTCGGTTGCAGGTCCAGGGTGTGGTCGGCTGCTGGGGCCAGCAGGTTGCTGCTTACCATCTTGTTTTCAGGCCCCCACTCTAAACAGATGGCCCCTTCACAGATTTTCTGAGCTATGTTCTGTGCATTTTGTGTGTGTGTGTGTGTTGATTGCACTGTTTAAAACAGCCTGAGTATAGTGGCAGCACTGTCTGATTTTCCTAAATTTAAGAGGACTGTTCCTGTAAGGGGAAGTGTTTGTTGGAGAGAGAAGCTTTGTGAAGGCCCAAATTGTTGACCATCAACACAATAACTAAAGTGCCTTTAAACATAAACACACATTTTAAAAAGGTATGAATCACTTGACAAAAATGTTGGAGGCTTAAGCTCCTAGGAGTCTAACCCTGTGTTCCCCCACAGAGCAGAAGTTCACTATGTACAAATCCTTATTCACAGCGTCTTCATAGAGAATGAGGACTGGAGAGCAGGCATCAACTCTGCCGGCCTTGCGGGCCTTGAGGACATGGACATAACGGAGCTGCTAATCGCAATTCTCATGAAAGTCTTTCCTCAGGGCAAATACACTTGTACCCTTGGCAGTTTCAAGTTGCAGTGGTTATTTCTTAAAAAAAAAAGAAGAAGAGAATAGTTTGGGATTTAAAGAATTTGTTTTTCTTTGTCCTCTCATTTAACCAGAAAATATCATTTTATATTATATTATATTATATTACATTATATACTAACCAGTGAATATTTTATGAATATTTTTTAATTATGGAAAATCCGTGTTTTCAGAGTATTAGATAATATTTATATATTAATGTAACACAGTGTGCTCCTAGGATGAATATTAGATAACATTGTTTTTATAAAATGATATTACTGTGATAGTTTTCTACTAACAAAAATTTATGAGGAAGGTTTCTCTTAGAGGACTTACAGGTGGAAGATAATAAACTTAATATATAAGTAGAATTCTTTTTACATGCTACTTATTTGTGCCCAAGAAAGTAACAATAAAACATCTTGATGTGTGTTTTCCTAATGATATTGTACTTCTTTTAACATTAAATTATTCCATTTTATATTTAGTTCTATAAAGGGCTAAAAAAAAAAAACCCTCTACCTGTACACTGTTTCCACTTGTAATTTTGAATCCCACTTCATTGTTTCATCCAAAGCATTAATATTTCCAGATTATTTGATTGGCAACTGGCTTTTCTAACATTTAGAATAAAATTGGTTCTACCTTGTTTCAAGTTCTTTAAATTTTTGGACAAGAGTAAGGAGTTTCTGTCATCTTACGTATCATAACTTGAGCTCATCTCAGTGGTAAATAAAAGAATCAAACAGCATTTCAAATTAAGCATCCAAAGCTAAAGCCTTCAATTTTAATGAATGTTTGGATTAGATTGTGGGAACAGGAAGTAGCAGGAAACAGCAGGAACACAAAAAATGAGTAAGAATTTGAACTTTGACTCTGAAGTCTTATATAGGATTATCCTTTTTTAAAATTTTGTTTCTAGAGGCTGGAGATTTAGCTCAGTGGCATAAGCACCTGCCTTGCAAGCAGGTAGTCGTGAGTTCGATCCCCGGTACCGATAAAAAGGAAAAAGACAAAAAAAAATTTTGTTTCTATCCTCATGGAGTTTTCTCAGTGATAAACCTGAAGTTTTTGGGTAAGTGACCTCAAAGACAACAGCAAGTTCTCCGAGTTTTGTTTGTAAAATGAAGATAATTTATCGTAGAATCATTTCTAAAACACTTCTTGGATTTTATCCCTAGAAGCCTGGCTTTATTTTATTTTGTTTGCATGAGCAAGGAAGCAAAGACTGAAGGAATTTATTTATTTTTCTTTTTGTTTTGGTACCAAGAATCAAACTCAGGACCTTGCGGTTGCCAGGCTGTGCCACTGAGCCCTCCCCCTGGGCCAAGGATTTTAAAAATTATCCCAGAACAAATAACTGGGATTACTGTCAGTTGACCTCAGATCTCATTTAGTTATTTGCCATCTTAAACTAAATCTTAGATGAGTTATATGTTATCAGACTCTGAAGCACGATTACTGTCTGTACATCCCATAGTTCCTACCCTCAGTGGCAGCCTCTGGATGAAAGGTCTCTTTCCTCGCTTCATGGCATTTCTAGGATTCAGACTGTTGGTGCTGTCAGCTAATGGGCCAGCTGCGGGCGCCCTCCCCAGGCGCAGGGTAGAGGTGTGACTCCCAGCTGCCCCAGATGTGTGCTCTCTTTGTTACTCTTGTTTTTTTTAACACCTGAAACTGGGTACAGTTACCCGAATCGGAAGAATGTTCTTTTTCCTGTGAATCCAAACCAAACCTTCTTGGAAGTAGTGACTGCATTGTGAAATCCCAAGGAGTCCAAGTCTCTTCCCTGCTGTTCAGAGAGGTGTTGTGTGGCCCTGTCACACAGCCAGCTCAGCTGGGTGCCATGGCCAAAGCGCTTTCCTTGTGTTGGGGCAGATTATGGTCTGAGACGAGGGTAAACTTGGGCATTCAGGTAAGCGCTCAGTTGAGAGTGTTGTGTGCTAGACTCAGACATGAATTTATTATTTGCCTTAATTTTGGTAATTGCTGTTAGGTAAACTGGCAGATTTCATTCTTGTGTTTTAATACTGTCCTGGGTTAGGCTTTTCATAAAGGACATTAAAAGTAGTGGTCAATACTAATTCATTGCTTAATCCTCTGAAGGAAAGTTTTAAGTTTTCTTCATACAGAGGTCCAATTTCATTATATTTTCTCACGGTGTAAGAGTTCTATTTCAGAATACAACTTAGATCACTCATGAAGAAGAAAATAAACATTGATTGTGATTCATTTTAATGAGAGAAATAATGCTTATTTGATAGTGGTTTTTTTATTTGTCCTTTTTTTGTTTTTGTTTTTGTTTTCAGGGGTGAAAGCATGTCTACAAAGAAAAGTCTGTGACCAGGAAGAAAACTATGAAATTCCTGAAGGTCCACGGAGAAGCAGGCTCAACAGAGAACAGCTGGTATTTTCTTTTTGATACTACTTTCCTTGTTCTCATGACTTCGTAGTATTGCACCAGAAAAAACTTTCTGCCCTTTCAACAAGTACAGGTGACTGACTGATTAAAATTTTAATTGTGCTTATTTCAAGCACTTGATTCTAAAAGATGATCACAATGTGCAATAAAATCCAGAAGGTAATAATTTCAGATCGTTAATGGACTTTTGGCATCTTGAACATTCCCATAAACCTTTCAGAACTTGACGTACATCTCAGATACAGGAAGTAGCTTGCAAGAAGACTTACAGCTGCTGCTCGGATTCGGTAACCAGATGTCTTTATTGCCACATAGTGCTGTTTTAATGGATAATGTTCCATTATCCTGTTGAGATAGATACTTACGTATATGAAGCAGTGAAAGTTTTTCATAGGAGGGATTGTGCAATTTTATTTTTCCGCGAAGCACAGTGGTAGTGTACAGCTGATCGGATCCCTTGCCTTCTCATCATAATCGGTCGTGCCGCCTTAGAGAACAGAAGTTGGTAGTACGTAGGAACCTGAATATAGATGGGCAAACTGGATGGTCTGTCCAAAAGCTATTACTGTGACATTCTGATTAAATTTAACCTGCTATTCCTGAAGCATACTTCAGACATCCTAGGAAACTTGGTGTTCCAACTCCTACCCAGTGTATGTAAGTATCTTGACAAAGAAATGTGATGAACAATTGTTTTTGTCTTTTTTTAAAAAAAATATAGAGCACATGTAAAATTTTAGAACCCTAAAAATGACCTGAGCTAGTAACTCAACCTTAGGAAGAAAAAACTGTCTGTAGGAACCCTTATTTGTGTAAGTAATTTTCTTGATCCACTTATTTCAGTTGTGAAATACAACTTGTGACAGCAGCTCATAAAGTAGCTTCTTAATTGCTTTTGACTATTGTTTTTATTTCCTTTATTTGTTTGCAGTATTTTAAAATATTTTGATCTACATCTAACAGGTTTTTTTTTCTTCTTGTTATTTCAGTTGCCTAAGCTGTTTGATGGCTGCTACTTCTATTTTGGGGGAAACTTCAAGCATCACCCAAAGGATAACCTCATTAGGCTGGTCACAGCAGCAGGAGGCCAGGTCCTCAGCAGAAAGCCCAAGCCAGACAGTGATGTGACCCAGACCATCAACACGGTTGCCTACCATGCCGACCCCGAGTCCGACCAGCGCTTCTGCACGCAGTATATCATCTATGAGGATTTATCTAATTACCGCCCAGAAAGGGTGCGGCAAGGCAAAGTCTGGATGGCTCCTTCCAGCTGGTTCATAAACTGTGTGATGTCCTTCAGGTTACTTCCTCTAGACAACTGAGTTTGATGTCAAATGAGCATTTCATATTAAGCTTGCACAGTATATGAGAGTTGAGCCGTGGCAATTTGTTATTCATGTTTTTACAGGATAGGTAGAGTCAGTCATATTTTTTCATTTTATGAAAAAAAAAAAACATGTCAGATTAGAAATTCATTCTGTGTTTATCAGTTAGGTGCTGGGATTGCTTTCAAAAATTCTTGGACCGGGATTTAACTCAGCGGCATAAGCACCTGCCGGGTCATGAGTTCAGTGCCCAGTACAAAAAAAAAAAGTTCTTTTGGGGGTTGGGGTTCCACCTTAGTGGAGCACCTGCCAAGCACCTGTAGCATCCTGCGTTTAATTCCTCACACTGCAAAAACGTGTTTTTCCTTTTAAAGCTGATGTTTGTTTTATTTCATCATGTCTTTCTACTCTTAATTATCAACTGTCAAAGATTGAGAGAGGCTATCAGAGCTGTTGTTAAATCTGTAAATGATACTGGTAGTATTTCAACCATTTAATGTTCTCTGATGAAAAAGTCCAAACCTGCCACCAGCAACAATACTTGCCATCCTTCAGGAAGCAGAATATTGTCAAATTATTATTCTGGCTTTATTATAATGAGAAAGAGTACTCGATCTAAGTGTGCTGCTGTAGGTGTTAAAATTCTTCTCTCCTTTGTAACCATCTGTATTTTACATTGTTCTTAATTTCGCAGTGTGTTTGATTTTTATCCCTTTTAAAAAGCTTGTGTATTCATTAAGCAATCATGTTTTGAACTTTAACATTGTTTCTTGGCAATGAAAATCAATAGTAGGCTCATAGTACATAATTTCTTATTGTGTACATTTACTTATTACCTGTAGCTGTTTGTTTATACTGTATATGTGTGTATACTTTATTATTTCTGTGACATATTTCAATATTAGCATTTCTCAATGTCTTACTAGAAACTTGTCAATCAAATGTCAGTACATCAGATTAGAAGCATTTTGTCTGGTAGATCGTGCAAGGGAAGGAGCGTAGGGCCATGCGCATGCTCAGCATGTGCTCTCCTCAGCTACACACTAGCCCAGTCTCAGTTTCTTCATAAAGTTTTTAGAGGGGTAGGCAGAAGCTGGAGATTGCTTGATTTAGGACAAGATTTTGCCCAGATTATACAGAAGGCCATAGCAGTCAATGTAGAGGAAGGAGCGAGAAGGACTTGCTCTGGATACCAAAGTCTGGGTGAGCTATGGACTGTGCACCGCCTGGCAGTGGCCTGTGCCGAGCAGCTGACACATCTGCTCCCCGTGTTCTTACTGTGCGTCCACAGGGCTGGGCTGAAGCAGAATTCTTTCATAAGCCTTTGCTAGCAATGGAATGTCTTTATGGTGTGAAGGCTTAGGGAACTGAAACCTACCAGTTTTGTCTCTTGAGCCAGCGGAGCGTAGTCTGATAACCACTGCACTAAATATCCCCAGTTTTAAAATATTTGACAGCCTACATTTAATCAGCATTTTAAGGTCTGCTTAGTTGAAGCTTTCAAATTCTGTTGATCATTTGAAAATACATTTTACCTCAAGTCCTTTGTCATATTTTTCATATCAAGAAATACTATGTGAACAAAACATTGTTTCTTTTTTTAATCTAGAATAAATTAGCTCTGAAATTTCCTCTAGAACCATCATTGTGTTCATGCCACATTTCATCCTGATAAAGGATGATGAACACCATTGCGCCCAATGAATCTGAGGAGTTAGGTAAAGTCTGCATTACATAATTGAAGACCATGGGATTTTTATCGTTTTTGTTACGTAAATGATTTTAAGTTGCTTTCTCTTGCCTTCTAGGTCACAGTCCTAGACAACTGTGTGTCTCTTACGTGCTACTGAATTCTAATTTTTAAAATTCATTTGGGATTTCCTGCTTACACTGTTTGGTTCATTTTCTTAGTTTGTCCTCTCTGTGTTTTTCTTTTTTTCCCGTACTATTATTTCCTTACATCTTTGTTTTGACAGTAGTTGGTTTATGTTAAGCTCTTGAAATTTATAATTGTACTTATTGTGTAAAAGTGTTGTAATTATTTTCATTTTTTAATCATAGAATCAAGCTTCCTTATTGTTTACAATAAATCATTATTAAAGTTACATGCATTTTCATGGATCTGTATGTTTTATAAAAGTCGCTTATTCTGTCTACTAAAGAATGAGATTTTAGAATGCCTTGTGAGGAAATCTAGCTTCCTTTTTGAACATTAACATTTTTAATTTTGAGTAGAAATAACTTTTAACGTATATTAGCTGATATATTACATTGAATAAATAATTCTGAACACAGTGAAACTCTGATAATGTAGAATCAGTGTTGTTGGTTACACGGTGATTCTTTTATGATTCTGTTCGTGGTTGGTAGATTTCCCACGTGTTTCATGTGGCTGTTTCCTGGTTCCGCCTGCCCGGCAACTTTTCCCCTTCGCCCCTGACTGCCGTTGCTTTGAGACTGTTCTGTCTCCACTAGTACTTTATCCTGTTTTTTTCTGACTTGCTAAAAAATGGAAACCAGGTAAGAAGTATATTAAAATTATGACTGAAATAAGGATGGATATGAGTGTTGTTGTGAGGGTTTTAGTGATTTGCGTGAATCAGATACACATATTTTAGAGGACATAGTTTGCCATTTATTTCATCTGTTTCAATTTCCTTTCATCCTCTGTGAACTTGGTAGTTGGATGACGTGGGTCCACGTGAAGATTGTGTTTTGAGAATAAAGATTCAGCCGGGGAGCACAGAGAGGGAGTGTCACATTAGAGGTTCTTATCCTGATGTGTATAGAAAAAGTTATTTTAAAGGATTGTAGTGAAGACTTTAGTATGGTCACAAATTCCTATTCTGTTCCCTAACAGAATATACTAAAATGGCATGAAACAATAACTAAAAGTCACTATTTGTTTGAAGTTTAATTATGAACTTAATGCGTTCATACGTCAACTCCTTTGAAACGTGCACACATCACAAACTACCTAATAAAACAGTAGTTCAGTTGAGAATTCGATTGTCTTTATTCAATTAATAAGTTATATTTGGCTTTATTCAATTAATAAGTTATATTTGGCTAATTAAGTTGCATACTCTGTTATGAACTAGGGATTATTATTTGTGTAGCTTCTGAAGACACATGGTCCAGTTTTTGGTGCCTAGAGATTTTTGTTAGAGTAGGCATGTGAGAGAGAGAATACTGGGTTAGTCTCACAGATGAAGGTTTGGTGACTGACACCAGCCACTGAGTCAGATCCAGCACAGGCTTTATTTCAAGCCAGTCAGAGTTCCACTTGTTAGCCATCTCTGCTTTACTTACCCACTGTGCTGGTAAACAGTGATGAATGTGCTGTCTTGTCACACAAATGGCAGAATGTACTGAGCACATACGCTGAGCAGGGTGGTTCGGTTTAGAAATGTATGTGAAAGCAGCGCCTGCAAAGGGAATTTGGGTAGCACAGTTTGTCTCCATCCTGAATAGTCCTGGCTGCATCTCTCACCCAGTTGATTGCTTACTGTCACGCCTAAGCTTAACTGATGGCAAGGCTTTTCTTCTCGTCAAGCTCTCCCATCTGGAGCCTCTCCTGCCTGATCAGCTCCAATCGTCTTCAGCTTTTGTTGCCTGAGTGGATGTACCGTGGGTACCCAGATTGCTTAGGCCTCTGCACATGGGTGATGCACCTTCAGCAGCCCAAGCCTGGCTTCCCTAAGTCATCCTCTGTCATCATCAGAGACCTTTACTGCCTCTGCTCGAGCCCTCCCTTTGATGTTCTTGGAATAAATTCACGTTTCACCTTCACACATCTCTCTCAAAATTTTCTTTTAAACCTTGTCTACCTTTACTTCATAATTGTGAGATTCAGATTTTCATTATCAGTACCACAAAACTGTCAAAACCACTCTCCATTTGCCTGTGGATTATTAAAATAATATGACATATATTCTGCCATGGAAATAAAAAATTAATCAGTTTTACTGCTGTGACTACCTCACAGTTTGGAAACAACTCTGCTTATGAAGGTATAACAGAGTTACTATAAAAACCTTGCATAGTTCAAAAAAGCACAAGGAAAGGAGCTCTACGTACAGGCACCGTAAGCCGATGACTTGTTCTTCGTGGCCTTCATACTGTAAAACTCACTGAACACTGTTGAAAGTGTGCGTGTACTTAACATGCACCGCAATCCCTGTCTCTGTATTCTCATTCATTCTGTTAGTTGCGCTCTGGAAATATGGGCTTAACCCAAAACTCAGGAATAACAACTCTTAGCGGTCTTCATTGTTTGTTAAAGCAGCTGTCGATATCCATGGCGTGGAGTGGGGGGTTTCAAAGACCACTGTCCCCGGCAAGATTCCCAAATCCACGGATACTGAGGTACCATACAAAAAGTGGTTTAGTTCACTGCGGAGGAGCCTTTGAGTTTTTTGAGTTTGAGACCAGATTGGGCAACAGCAAGATCTTGTTTCCAAAACAAGCAAGGAAGTAACATGGTCTAGTTGCATAGAATCTGTATACATGCTCCTGTGTTGTTTCACCTCTAGATTACTTAAAATACTCAGTGTAATGTAAATGATACACAGACAGTTCTTATACTACATTGTTTAGGGCATAATGATAAGATTGTGCTCAGTATAGGTTTTTTTTTAAATTTTGAATATTTTGAACCTGCTCTTGGTAGACTTGATGCAGAGCCCATAAACACAGAAGACTGACTAGCTTTATAGTGAAGAGCTTCAATCTTGGTTGTGCTTGTACTTCCTATTTTCTCATGTAGCTAGATGACCTTTTGCATAATGTCAAATAATTGTATTCTGTCAACAGGATATTTCATGATTTCACTGAATCCAAGTCATTGAATATTTGGATTATTTCCATTATAGACAAATCTAAAATCTTTGCAAGAAGTTTTGGTGAAGGCGCGGTGCTTCTTCAGTATGTCAAGCTGTTAGCCCATGTCTGTGAGCTGTACAGGATGCAACACGTGTTCTGCACGTTGAAATTAAGACCTGTCGTTAACACTTAAAACATAAAAATTAGAAGATGAGCTTTCATTGATTGCTATGATTGCCATAAGCTGATTAGACATTGCCTGTAGTGTTTAGAGTGCTCCTGCCCTTGTGGGTTAGGAGCTAACCAGGAAAACGAGAAGACACTGGCATTGGGATGTGACCATACGGGTCACCTCGGGTCATCTCTCGTGTCACAGTGAGGAGCCAGGATCTCTCAGAGTGCTAGGGACTCTCCCGGGATGAGACCTCCCTGAAGGCGGAGGGCCCCTCCAGTTCTTTCCCTGCATCACGCCGCCTGCCAGGGCCCACAGTAGTGTGTACATGGGAATGTAACCAGATATTTACTCATTTGAACTTACCAAACTATCCCAAGATGACAAGAAGAGGAGTGGTATTCTACACTTCCTGTAACCTCCGCCTCCCTCTTGACAAACACTACCCATTACTGTTTTGAGACCAAAAAGAAAGTATTTTTCTCAGTTCTTGTTTGAGTAACAAGTAATAGGTCCAGTTGGTTACCAGCTGCAATTTATCATCACTGGTGAAGTCATGCTTCAAAACAAGTAATTTTTGAGTTGGGTGCTTATTTTCTTCTACAGCACACCAGAAGCATCAGGTACACTCCAGGAGGTTACTATGGCTCATGCAGAGACTGCTGGGAGGCCGTGCTCCCTACCCGCGGAGGGAAGGGGGTGACCAACACACCTACATGTCCTCTCAAGATGGAGAGATGAACAGAGGGGAGGAATTTCCCACACTGGGAAGTCGGTGCTCTAGCACTTTTTATTGTTGGAATTACACCATTTTGACATAGTATTTCTGATTCAAGCACCTACTTCAGTGGAAAGTGTGTGTGTGTGTGTGTGTGTGTGTGTGTGAGCGTATGTGTGTTTCACTACATGCAGTTACATATTCTGTATGTTGGCCCACGGAGATTGCTCAGCTGCATAAGTGCCTATCTGGCAAATACTAAGTTTGATTCCTGGTACAAAAAAAAAGCATATGTTATATATGTAAAGTCTGAGGCTGTTGTACCTATTCTAATCATTTTCCTTTTTCCATGACTACTGAAGTTCTGTCACCTGGTAGTGAATTCACGTTATTTTTCTGCCTCTGAAATGAATGACTAGTACATTTGGTGTTTAAATTGCATTAAGACAATAAATCCTGAAAAGTAAATGAAGTCTGGAGATTTTTTTCTGTTGACCGTTTGTGGATACATGACAGAAAGCATGAAGAGCAAGCAATTGACTTTTCAGTAAGGACTCTCAGGATGCTATGCAGCATTTCACATGTATATAATTTAAATCTGTTTTTCTTAAAAATATAGACCTGTTTTAACATTTTAAAAGGAAGTTGAACAGAAGCCTGATATGATTCACTGAGTAGTCGGTATATTTATTGTACAAATATTTATTGAGAATCCACAGGATATCATTTTGAATGAGACACGGCCACAGTCCTCAATGGACTCTATCCCCTGGTAGAAGAACCAGGAGGAAACGGTATGCCTTCACCATTTTTGTCAAGGGGAGCCCCTGTAGCCTTCTAGAGACACCCCACATTGGACACCTACATGCCAGTGGACATTGTGACGTTAAGATACACTCAGTCTACATTGGATATGTGGCTTTTGGTAGAACCACTGAGTGTTTGCTCTGTATATAATCCATGTATTTTTCAGAAAGGCACCTACGACTTACCTTAGAAGCAAATGGATTAATATTCACTGTGATATGTACTAAGCATTTTTAAAAATTCCCCTTGAGTGATACTTCTAGTCTTTTGCAGAAGAGAATGACATTTTATCAATATTTTATTATAGAGTATTTTTCTCTTTAATTAGGAATTCAAGTCAGGAACAGGAAATGCAACCTGCTGAAACCATGAATTACAAATGAGGTGCTTTTTTTGCTACCCATGTTTAATTTGCTAAGTTAGCAAATTTAATCTGAATATAATTTAAACAGTTAAATCTATACAAGTTTATTTCATCTACCTTTTTAAGAATACATTTTTAATATTCATGCTTGTTTCCTATTCAGATGGAGTCCTTAGAAGGGAGAGTTTTTAAATGTCGGGATGGTTTTTAGAATTGGATTGTTGGC